CGATAAACAAGTGGGTGAAGAAGATGTGATACATGTATACAATGGAATACTACTTGGTCATAAAATGAAATCTTACCATTTGCAACAACATGGATGGACCCAAAGAGTATTATGTTAAGTGAAATAAGACAGAGAGAAAAAGACAAATACCATATGATTTCACTTAAATAGAGAATCTAAAAAACAAAATAAATGAACAAACAAAACAAAAACAAACTCATAGATACTGAGAACAAATGTATGTCTGCCAGATGGAGGGCTGTGGGGGTATGGATGAAAAGGTTAAGATGTGCAGATTGCCAGTTCTAACAACATCACCAGGATGTAAAGTACAGCATAAGGAATATAGTCTGTAATATTGTAATAACCATGTATGGTGTCAGATGGGTACTATGTCTAATCACTTTGTTGTTCACTTAAAACTAATATTATTATATGTCAACTGTAATAAAAATTATTTAATTAAAAAAAAAATAAAAATAAAGCCCTGGCTGAGTAGCTCAGTTGTCCTGATATGCCAATGTTACAGGTTTGATCCCTAGTCAGGGCACATACAAGAATCAACCAATACATGTATAAATAAGTAGAATAGCATATCTCCCCCACCCCTGCTTTTTCTCTCTAAAAATCAATCAATAAAATAATAATAATAGTAATAATAATCTGGAGACTTCCAGTCAAGATGGCTGTGTAGGTAAACGTGTTACTCGCCTCCTCCTATGACCACATTGAAATTACAACTAAACTACAGAAAAACCATCATTCAGAACCACCTGAAATCTCGCCGAATGGAAGTCCTACAACTAGAAATTTAAAGAAGAAGCCACATTGCGACTGGTAGGAGGACTAGAGATGCGGAACAGGCTGGTCCCACACCCACCTGTGGTGGATAAAAATCAGGAGGGCTATCTCAGCTGCAAAGGTGCCCCCTGGGGAATGAGGGATCCTGGCCCCACACCAGGCCCCCCCAGCTCAGGGTTCCAGTACTGGGAAGAGAAAGCCCCATAACTTTTGGCTGTAAAAACCAACAGAAATTGAGGCTGAGTGAGACAGAGGACTGCTGGAATCCCAGGAAGTTCCTTTTATTTTATTTATTTTTTTATCCTCACCCGAGACATTTTTCCATTTTTTGTTCAGGTAGAGTAGGAGGGAGAGAGGAACAGAGAGAGAGAGAGAGAGAAACATCGACGTGAAAGGGACACACCGAGTAGCTGCCACCCGCATGACCAACTAGGGCTGGGGACAAACTGCAATCGAGGTACGCGCCCCTAGTGGGAACCGAACCAGGTCTCTCGGGACCGCAGGCTGATGCTCTAACGGCTGAGCCAAACTGGCCAGGGCAGGAAGTTCCTTTTAAAGGGCCCACACATGCCCTGGCCAGTTTGGCTCAGCGGTTAGAGCGTCGGCCTGTGGTCCGGAGAGACCCGGGTTCGGTTCCCGCTAAGGGCACATACTTCAGTTGCAGTTTGTCCCCGGCCCTGGTTGGTCGTGCGGGTGGCAGCCACTCAATGTGTTCCTTCACGTCGATGTTTCTCTCTCTCTCTCCCTTCCTCTCTCTCCCTCCCACTCTATCTGTACAAAAAATGGAAAAATATCCTCGGGTGAGGATAAAAAAATAAAAATAAAAAAAAAATAAAGGGCCCACACACATTCCCTGGTCCGTTTGGCTCAGCAGTTGGAGTGTAAGCCGTAGACCACAGAGTCTTGGGTTCAATTTTGGTCAAGGGCACATACCTCGATTGCAGTTCAATCCCGGCCCTAGTCAAGGTCATTCAGGAGGCACCCAATCAATGTCTCTCTCACTTCAATGTTTCTCTCTCTCTCTCCCTCCCACTCTGTATGAAAATCAATGAAAAAATATCCTCTGGTGAGGATTTAAAAAAATAAGAAGATAAATAAATAAATAAATAAATAAATAGCCCATACAAAGTCTTACTCTGACTCACTCCCTCCAAACTCCAGTGCTAGGACAGCAGCTAGAAAGGAACAAGGAACGTACAGGGAGGAAATGAATTGTTTGGCATCAGGGCAAGAGCTGGAGAGGCAGCTTTCTCCCAGACAAAAGTGCTGACAGAGGCCATTGTTCCTTTTCTGAGTCCTTCCTCCAAAGAGCTGGCAGGCAAGTGCCACCTCTGAGCCTCCATCAACCTGGCTGTCACTGTTTCGCCTACCCTGTTGATTCCCTGAGGTCCTGCCCCACCAACCTTGCAAGCCCACCCAAGCTGTTTCCAGTGGCTTTTCCATAGGAATGGCTATCTTGGCTCATGCTTCAGACTTTACTAAAATCTCCTAAACAAGCAGCATCTGGCCTCAGTATGCTCTGTACCTCTTGCTAAGGGGTCCCAGGCCAGGTGTCAGCAGCAACCAGCCTTGGTTCACAGCTTGGCCTCTCATGGTGACCTCCAAGCACAGCACAAGTAGCAGTCATCTGTAGATCACTTTGTAGCTCAAGCCGGGTGTCCCAGGTTGAACGCAGGTAGTGGCTGACCTTAGCCTGCACCTCCTGTGTGGCTCCAAAGTCAGCACACCTTGTGCACAGCTTAATACCCACATCGAAACACCACCCAACCACCCTCACAGAGACACACTCAAGGGGCAGACTCAGTGGGCCTAAGAGTCCCACTGAAGTAAGTCTGACCCTGTGGGGCAGGCCACTGCACAGCTGATCGATCCTCCATGAGGGTGGTGGTCACAATCAGCCCTTGCAGTGGATCAGTCTAGGGGGTAAATCTCTCCCATGGCATGCCAATGGCAATCAGGGCTCAAATACAACAGGAGGGTATACATAGCCCACAAGGGTGTGCGTGGGGGTCACAACCAGAATGCCCAGCTTGGGTGATCGGGGAGACTGTGCCATGAGACCCTACAGGACACCTACTACATTAGGCCACTCTACCAAGCCCAAGAGATGTAGCAGTTCTACCTAACACACAGAAACAAACACAGGGAGGATGCCAAAATGCAGAGACAGAGAAATAACATCCCAAATAAAAGAACAGAACAAAACTTCAGGAAAGCAAACAAACAAACAAAATGAGTCAAGCAATCTACTAGATGCAGAATTCAAGACACTGGTTATAAGTATGCTCGTTAAAGAGTAGTTGAACTCAGAGACCTTCAGGAACATAAAAAAAGGACATGGAAATCATAAAAAAGAACAAGTCAGAAATGAAAGATACACAAAATGAATTGAAGAATAATTTACAGGGAGTTAACAATAGAGTAGATGAAGCCAAGAATCAAAACAGTAATTTGGAATATAAGGAAGCAAAAAGCATCCAATCAAAACAGCAAAAAGAAAAAAGAATCCCCCAAAATGAGAACAGTGTAAGAAGCCTCTGGGACAACTTCAAGCATACCAACATTTATATTATGGGGGTGCTGGAAGAAGAGAGAAAGAGCAAGAAACTGAAATCCTATTTGAAAAATAATGACAGAAAACTTCCTAACCTGGTGAAGGAAACAGACATACAAGTCCAGGTGCGTGCACAGTCTCAAACAAGATGAACCTAAAGAGGCCCACACCAAGATACATCATAATTAAAATGCCAAAGGTTAAAGACAAAGAGAGAATCTTTTTTTTTTTAATTCTCTTCTGAGGATATTTTTCCACTAATTTTCAGATAAGAGTAGGAGGGAGGGAGAGAGAGAAACATCGATGTGAGAGAGACACATTGAGTGGTTGCCTCAACCAGGGCCGAGGATCAAATCACAACCAAGGTATATGCCCTTGACCAAAATCAAACCCACAACTCTTTGGTGCAAGGACCGACACTCTAACTGCTAAGCCAAACCGGCCAGGGCCAAAGAGAAAATCTTAAAAGCGGCAAGAGAAAAGCATTTAGTTACCTACAAGAGAGCTCCCATAAGACTGTCAGCTGATTTCTCGAAAGAAACTTTGCAGACTAGAAAGGACTGGCAAGAATTATTCAAAGTTATGAAAAGCTATAAAAGCATGGACTTACAACCAAGATTACCCAGCAAAGTTATCATTCAGGATAAAACGACATATAAAGAGCTTCACAGATAATAAAAAGTTGAAGGAGTTTATCACCACCAAACCAGTATTATATGACATGTTAAAGGATCTTCTTTAAGAAGAAGAAAATAAAAGATAAAAAATATTAACAACAAAATGATAATAAATACTTATCAATCAATAACTGAATGTAAAAAACAAAGTATTTGAAGCAGAACAGAAACAGACTCATAGATACAGAGAACATTTTGACGGTTGCCATATGAGAGGGGGTATAGTGAAATTGGTGAAGGGATTGAGAAGTACAATTTGGTTGTTACAGAATAGTCATGGGGATGTAAAGTAGAGCACAGGAATTATAGACAATAATATTCTAATAACTATGTATGGTGTTAGATGGGTACTAGATTTATCAAGTTATATAATGTCTAATCAATGGGGTGTACACCTGAAACTAATATAATATTGTATGTCAACTGTTAATTGAAAAATAAAAATTTAAATAAAATAAAAATAGCCCTGGCCGGTGTGGGTCAGTGGTTAGAGCATTGACCCACACACCAAAGGGTCATGGGTTTGATTCCTGGTCAAGGGCATGTACCTGGGTTTTGGGATTGATCCTTGGCCCTGGTCAGGGTACCTGTGGGAGGCAACGATTGACGCATCTCTTTCACATTGATGTTTCTCTCTCTCCTCCTTTCGTCCCTCCCTTCCACTCTCTCTAAAAATCAATGGAAAAATATTCTCGGGTGAGGATTAACCAAAAAATAAAATAAATAAATAAATAAATAAATAATAATCACAATAATCCCTGAACTTGCGGTACATAATTATTGGAGATATTATGTCTTGTAAGGTTAAGTATATTTTAAGGGGAGGTTCCTGACTACTGTGCATGTCAAATACCTTAGTTTAAGAAAATACTTTTTGAGCAGTGGGCCCTTTACATTCATAATGGTTATGTAGTCCTCTCATAAGATCAGCCCTTGTTTTAAAATAATCATACATAGTGTTTACTTACCCTACTATCTCTATATATATCGAATACAACTGCAAAAAAGAAAGAACTCAAAGTTAATAACAAACTACTATTTTCATGATCTCAGCCTCCCTTCCTCCTCCCCCAAGTTTCAACTATTTATCAATCAGTATAAACCCCAACACAAAATTTTGTGCATTTGAAAGGGAAATATTTCCTAGTCCAGTGAAAAACCATGCAGATGGCTTCTGGAAGACCTTCATTCTGAGCAGCTTTACAGTGAAACATTTCATTAAAAAGTCTGGACCTTCCTTCCTCAGATTACTGCAATCTACATTCACTGAGCAGAACTTGCATTGCTCATTGGGACCCAGTTTATTCCAGGGTTCTAGATTATTCTGTCTGTCCCAACAGACATTGGGAATGAACAATGCCAGGCACTGCCCCAGTACCTTCAGCTCCAATAAATACAAAGAGGGGGATCGAGCTTGGATGCTTCTTGGTCTGAATGAGGATCTTGCAGAGCATGATTGCGGCAGAGGGCCCGGAAGCAGAGAAAAAACCTCTAAGCCTCCTTTTTAAAATTAAAATTAAAATTTTAATTTTAAGTTACTCCAACAGCAAAATATAATTAACCTGGAGGTTTTCATATTTCTAAATCCCAAAACTTCAAACATAAAAAGGCATGCTGCAATGTTTTTTTATATAATCTTTCTTCTTTTTCTACCGTCAGCCATAATCCATTATGTTTAAAACTTCAAACCAAACACCAACATCATCTCAACCAGTTCACCCTCATAAATAAGTTCTATGTACTAGTAAAAGCACCACCAATCACTGGAGACAGGAATAAAATGAGTAAATTTTGTAGCAGGGAAGCATAAAATCTAGCTATGCTTATGGCATGACTAATCTTTTTAAAAAATCCAATCTGCTGCCCAGCCGGTGTGGCTCAGTGGTTGAGCACTGACCCATGCACCAAGACTCCTGGTCAGGACACATGCCCAGGATGTGGGCAAAATCCCCAGTGAGGGGCACGCAGGAGGCAGCCAGTCAATGTTCTCTCTCATAGATGTTTCTCTCTCTCTCTCCCCCTCTTGCTTCCTTTCTCTAAAACCAATAAAGAAAAAAAAAAATTAAAAATCAAATCCGCCATAGAACCAGGCTTGGAAAGTAGGAAAAAAGGTAAATAACAGCCCTGGCCGGTTTGGCTCAGCGGTTAGAGCATCGGCCTGCGGTCCAGAGAGACCCGGGTTCGGTTCCCGCTAAGGGCACGTATCTCGGTTGCAGTTTGTCCCCGGCCCTGGTTGGGTCGTGCGGGTGGCAGCCACTCGATGTGTCCCTTTCACATCGATGTTTCTCTCTCTTCCTCTCTCTCCCTCCCACTCTATCTGAACAAAAAATAAATAAAAAAATGTCCTCGGGTGAGGATTAAAAAAAAAAAAAAAAAAAAAGGTAAATAACAGATATAATTTCAGGTTGCATAAAAACTCTCTATCGTACAGAATATACTTTCAAATCTTAAAATCAACTACAAATGTTCACTATGTAACTGGTGCTACCTGATCATTCAAATAAAAAAACTGAGAAAGGCAGATCAGTCACCTAGCTAATTTAGTCCTAACAACAGAAGCATATTGTCATCTGTAGATAGACCCTTTGTTATGTATAATAAAACATCTAAAATGGCAGAAGAACTCTCAGTATTAAAAAGGGACTCTGATTAAATAAGGTAAAATTAACATGCAAACCATCAGCAATACCAAATAATAATGCAGCAAAAACACTTAAAACAGTCCTTCAAATCCTGATTTAAAATATGTGCCACTGTGAGATAAGGTTCATTAACATTATGCATTTCATTTCATTTTACTGAGACAATAAAAAATACTCACAGTCTTCATCTAAGAATTTGTACTGTATGTGTTTTGTGAAGAAGTCCTGTATGCATCTGCAAATCTCCTCCTTTTGCTTAGAAATATGATCATAGTATTGTGTGTAGTCCCTCTGAGAAATAGCTGACAAGAAAATATTTTATACTCCGTTATTACATAATATTAATATTCTTTTCAAAAATATCAAAATGTGATTTAAAACTCTTCCTTTTTTTAAAATCCTCACATGAGGCTATTTTTCCATTGATTTTTTTTTTTTTTTTTTTAGATAGAGTGGGAGGGGAAGGGGGAGTGCAAAAGAGAGAGAGAGAGAAAGAGAGACACTGATTGGCTGCCTCCTGCAACACCCGACTAGGGCTGGGATAGAACCACAACCGAGGTCCGTGCCCTTGACCGGAAATTGAACCAAGACTCTTTGGTCCTTGGGTCAAAGCTCTAACTGCTGAGCCAAACCAGCCAGGGCTAAACTCTTCTTGAGAAAACTGGTAAAGTAGACCAGAAGACCAATTAGGTGCATACATTATTCAGCATCTTATATAGAAATACCAGCTGTAAAGGTTTATATGGATAGGTGAAGTCTAAAGTTCCACGTTACCATACATTCTTATTTTAGAGATAGTAGTTATTTTTACTTAACATAATGGAAAGAATTCAAAGTCATAAAAAATACCCAATATGTAAAAAATAAAAGAACCAATTTTAACCCTATACATGTAGTCAATTGCCTTTCTTTGATTTTTCCAATGAACTCTATAAATTGTTATTCTTTTGCACTTTCTTTGGGAAAATATAAACTAAAAAAAATCCTCACCATATGTCTTCAACATTCACATTGTATTTCATAGAAGCAGTCTATTTTTCTTGTTCATACATGCAACCCTGTCTTCACAAGTCTGATGTTTCAAGCCATGGAAAAGTAAACATTCCTTTCTTCAGAGTGACTTGCTTATATTATTCTAGATAAATTCAACAGACTATTGGAAGAACTCTCTCAATTTGCTCTAGGCCTAGGAGAAAGTTCTGTGTTCTGAAACCAGGGCTTCCACTCAATTTCTTATTCACATGCCAATATGCTCCCCTCTTTTTGTTTTTTTTTAATCCTCACCCGAGGACATTTTTCCATTTTTTGCACAGATAGAGTGGGAGGGAGAGAGAGGAACAGAGAGAGAGAGAGAGAAACATCGATGTGAAAGGAACACATCGAGTGGTTGCCACCTGCACCACCAACCAGGGCCGGGGACAAACTGCAACCAAGGTACGTGCCCTTAGCGGGAACCGAACCGGGGTCTCTCAGGACCGCAGGCCGACACTCTAACCGCTGAGCCAAACTGGCCAGGGCTCCCCCTCTTTAAGGTATATTTAAAGTACAGCCTTTTCAGGAATATCTAATAATATGATAAAGTCCAACACCCCAAATTTCTTCTACGTTAGCTAATAAATGTCAACATCATAATAAATAAGTAATATTGATTTGATTCTGGTCAAATCACACTTTTCTTGGTTGAAGATAAATTTTAGTTCATGGAAAACGTGTGGAGACAAAAAAAATAAAATTATCTTCAATATTTAATTTGAATCAATAATAGCAAAGAAAATAATAACCTAAGAGGAAAGGAAATGGGCTTTTAAAGTAATGAACTTATTTGTCCATATATTTTCTCTGCTAGAATAATAAAGTGTCCCAATAATAGGAAATAAAGATTTAAAAGCTTGGTTTTTTATAATGCTTAAAATAGCAGTGTATACCTAGTAATACTTAGGAAAGTCCCAAAGAGAAAGCAGGTAACATATCCTAAAATTGGGAAGCATAAAGACCCCACTTTCAACCCAGAATCCAGACAGACATGATGAATTGACAATCTTATGTTCTGCAGAAACTGAACATGGCCTTGGGGGTCCTTGTCGGTACAGCATTACTGCGAATCAGTACCAAAAGGTCAGAGGAAGGGTGAGACAGACTGTTGCCCTGGCCGGTTTGGCTCAGAGATTAGAGCATCGGCCCACGGATCAGAGAGTCCCGAGTTTGGTTTCCGCTAAGGGCATGTACCTCGGTTGCAGTTTGTCCCTGGCGCCGGTTGAGGTGGTGTGGTTGGCAGCCGCTCAATGTGTCTCTCTCATATTGATGTTTCTCTTTCTCTCTCTTCCTTCCTCTCTCCCTCCCTCTCTCCCTCCCTCTCTGAAGATAAATGCAAAAAGTCCTCGGGTGAGGATAAAAAAATAAAAAAAATTAAACAAAAAACATGTCTTCTTTTAACAGTTACTTTCAAGGGTAAAAGAACTCACCAATAAGCTTGTTTTCCTTGACAAAACATCGGAACTCAGCCCCAGGAATTAATTCACACCATTTTCGAAGAACAAGCTATAGAAAAAGGGGAAAAATGTAACACAACTACACAACAAGGGGATGTTTACTAGCCTAAAACACAACTTTATGCCCAGACTATGTCTTAACAACTGCCATTATTAATTTTCTTTTAAAGGAGGCATCAGAAAACATTAATGTGAGATTTAGGGAAGCGCGTTGTGATCTATTAGTCTAATAAACGGGAAAGTGTTAAACTCTCTCTGACAAAATATATCTTTGTCATTTATTTATTGTTTTGAGAGGTCTGACATAATATAGATCCCCAAGGATGACGAAGTCAAATCTTATCACTGCTGTGCCATAAGCTGCCCTGTAGTTCATGTCCTTCCCTCCTTTAAGAATATTAAAAAATACAGTAATTTCAAATTATCTAGCTTAAACACCATTCTGTAATACATACTCTGCCAAATTATTATTACAGCTTATTATAAAAAATCACTATAACCTGTCCATTATTTTAAAGTAAACCAATTCTATCAGTGATCCAAGTCGTAAGTGTGTCTTCTTACTGTACTACTTAGTATACTATTCATACATTATTGAACTGCTGCAATTTTATGTATAGAACAGTTGACAAATATATGCTTCTGAATCTGTTTTCAAAATGTTCTCTGGAGCCCAGCCGGTGTGCCTCAGTGGACTGAGTGTTGTCCCATGTACTGAGAAGTCTCGGTTAGATTACCAGTCAGGGCACATGCTCTGGTTGCAGGCTCGATCCCCAGTAGGGGGCAAGCAGGACGCAGCTGATAGATGTTTCACACCAATGTTTCTCTCTCTCTCCATCTCTCTAAAAAAATCAACAAGAATATATTTTTTTTAAAAGCAAAAAACTATGGCTAAAATATGCCACAGAAATTTAAAATGCACTGATTTCAATTTTCATCGTGTATTCTTGGTCTATGTGTCAAATTTTTTAAAAAGAACCTAATTATTAAGTAAAGAACCCCAAACTAAAATATTATACTGTTTTTATCTATTAAAAGCTGGTACTGGGCCATGGCTGGTTTTGCTCAGCGGTTAGAGCGTCGGCCTGTGGTCCAGAGAGACCCGGGTTCGGTTCCCGCTAAGGGCTCGTACCTCAATTGCAGTTTGTCCCCGGGCCTGGTTGGTCATGCGGGTGGCAGCCACTCGGTGTGTCCCTTTCACATCGATGTTTCTCTCTCTCTCTTCCTCTCTGTCCCTCCCACTCTATCTGAACAAAAAATGGGAAAATGGCCCTGGCCAGTTTGGCTCAGCGGTTAGAGCGTCGGCCTGCGGTCCGGAGAGACCCGGGTTCGGTTCCCGCTAAAGGCATGTACCTCAGTTGCAGTTTGTCCCCGGCTCTGGTCGGTTGTGCGGGTGGCAACCACTCGATGTGTTCCTTTCACATCGATGTTTCTCTCTCTCTCTCTCTGTTCCTCTCTCCCTCCCACTCTACCTGAACAAAAAATAGAAAAATGTCCTCAGGTGAGGATTAAAAAAAAAAAAAAAAAAGCTGGTACTGGTGTACATTTTTTTTGTGGTCATGGTAACTTTTATTTAAGCAAGAAGGTAATAAGCAATTGTTGCATACTAATGAATTTTTTTTTAATTTGCAAAATCTTTATTGAAATAATGTTTTAGACAGGTACTACATACATTTATGGTAGGCCCCTCCTCCCAAACCCCCACCCCAGAAAACAAAAACAAAACCAAAAAAAGACATAAGGTGAATCTTCCCCATCCACTCCCTTTGTCCTCCTCAAAGGCAAGTAGTGTTGTTGATCTCTCATACATCTTTCAGAAGTATTCTATGAATATGTGAGCATATGAGTATACACTTATCTTTTTAGACACACAGACAAGAACACACAATACATAGGATTGTTTGCAACTTTTGTTTTGTTGGTTAATCCTCACCTGAGTATACTTTTCCATTGATTATAGATAGAGTGGAAGGGAGGCAGGGAGGGAGAAAGAGAGACACGTCAATTGGTTGCCTCCTGTACGACACTGATGGGGGGCTAGGGATCAAACCTGCAACCCAAGTACATGCCCTTGACGGGGAACTGAACCCGTGTCTTCGGGCAGACACTCTAACCACTGAGCCACACCAGCCAGGGCTGCTTACAACTTTCTTCATTTTAATTACTGTTGCCCCGGTGTGGCTCAGTGGACAGAGCATCAGCCTGCACACCAAAGGGTTACAGTTTGCTTTCCAGTCAAGGGCACATACCTGGGTTGCAGGTTTGATCCCCAACTCCTAGTCAGGGTCGTGCAGGAGGCAACCAATTGATGTGTCTCTCTCACATCGGTGTTTCTCTCTCTCCTTCTTACTTCCTCCCTTCCACTCTCTCTAAAAATCAAAGGAAATAATATTCATTGATTTGTGAGGATTAACACAAAAAAGAGAGAGAAGGAAAATTACTCTAAGAATATCATTTTCCCAGGCTTTTCAAACTAGGTTTTTGTATTCTTAGGAGTCCTGGACCCAATCCCCAGCAGATACTAAAGACAAAAGTTTTCTCTATATATTCTATATAAACATATATTTTTATATGTATATTTCATAAATTAAAAATTCAATGATCCTAGCAGTGAATTAATCCAAAAGATTTCATTCATTTCACTTAAGAATAGCAATTCTCAACACTTCTTCATGTAGGTTTATCAACTTCACTGAGATAGATAAAGTTTCTTACCTCATATTCCATACAAGGATCTGGGGAATCATCAGTACAATGGATAAATCTTTGAGAGAAAACAAAGATGGGAGATGATTATGTTTGCACATGTAGAGTTGGAGACATCCTGGGAGAACCACAAAGAGTGCCTAATAAGTAACTGGAAAGTCAAAAGAGGAAGGAGCTGAAGATATCTATCTGGGAGTAATCATCACATGGGTACAAGAGCTAAGTCCAGAAAGCAGCAGTGATCACTTCAAGCAGATGACAGAATCCTTGGAAAAGCCAGCAATTAGAGTGAGTAAAACCTGCAGTCAAGAGACATTTTAATAAAAACAATACACAAACAGCCCTGGCCAGTTTGGCTCAGGGGTTAGAGCGTCGGCCTGCGGTCTGGAGAGACCCGGGTTCGGTTCCCGCTAAGGGCATGTGCCTTGGTTGCGGTTTGTCCCCGGCCCTGGTTGGTCGTGCAGGTGGCAGCCACTCGATGTGTTCCTTTCGCGTCGATGTTTCTCTCTCTCTCTCTCTTCCTCTCTCTCCCTCCCACTCTACCTGAACAAAAAAAAAAAACGGAAAAATGTCCTCGGGTGAGGATAAAATAAATAAATAAATAAAAACAATACACAAACAAAACAAAAATACCTTTAAATGTCTTAAGCAATTCACAAGTAAAGTGAGTTTAAAAAGCTTTACATTTTCCAGAATATTTGATTAGGTTGGGATTCTCTGAGGTCATTTATGATTTATTCTATGAACAACAGCAATTCTAATTTACTTGGTAGGCCAAAATCCTCAGGAATAAGAACTTTCATTCTAAAAATGGGGCACTAACTAATAGATTGAATCACAAAGACAGGTACACAGAGTGTGCTTGGTTCACATGGGCTCTCTCTGCTGGTGAACAGGCACCACATGAGGCATCTTACATTTGCTACCTCATTTAATCCTTGCTATAATCCCATGAGAAAGTGCTATTATCATTATCCACATTTACCACATGACAATCCCAGAGTGGAAATCAAGTAAACTCACTAAACCACATGCTGCACCATTTCCCTCAGGGATGAAGGTCCTAGAGCTGCTGTAAAAGCTCTCAGAATTTCAATGAAAAATAAAAGAGCCCAGCTGGTGTGGCTCAGTGGTTGAGCGTCAACCCATACACCAAGAGGTCACTGGTTCGGTCCCCAGTCAGGGCACATGCCCAGGTTGTGGGCCAAACCCCTGGTGAGGTGCATGCATGAGGTGGCCAATCGATGTTCTCTCTCATCAATGTTTTTCTCTCTCTCCCCGTTTCCCTTCCTCTCTCTCTGAAATCAATAGAGAAAAAAATTTTTTTGAAAAGAAAGAAACCACAAATAGCAGCAGGCAGGCATTTAAGCTCAAGCAGTACCACCAAAAAAGAAAGAAAGAAAAAAAAGAGATACCATTAACCAAATCCTATTTCCACAATATAATATGGGTTTTCCAAAGAACAATTTGTAAACTTGTTTTTACACATTCAAGCATACACTGGTGCTATTTTAAAACCTCATTTTTCTCTGGAAAGCAAAAATCCCTTACTTCAAATCAAACTAAGTTAAAGGTATGTTACCCTGAGGAGTTATCTACAACAACAAAACTTGCTTTTAATTTACTTTAAAATTTTTTAGGTAAAAAATTAATCTGATTGTTTTATGTTAATCAAAATTAAGGTCACAAACTGAGAGGTTAATACAAATTAACTTAATTGCTTTTATCCTTAAAAAACAAAAACAAAAAAAAACCCTCCCCCCAGGACCAGCTGCTTCATAATCATTAAGAATGATTCTGGAGTTCTCTGATATACATTTTTTATCATTTAGGAAAATTATGCTTAGATACATGGCCTGTATAGAGACAAGTGAAATATCCTGGATTTCTACATAAAGAGGAAATATTCCAATGACTACAAAAAAGGACAGCAAAGCTTAAAGGAAATCTAAACCAGGACCTTGAGCTCTGTGCTGATATGATATGCTCCAGGATAAGTCAATCAACTTCTCTGGCTGGATCTCAGTTGCCTCAGCAGTAAACAGGTGGATAGAGTTAGATGATTTCTAAAGTTCTCTGTACAAATTTGTAGACAGCGTGCTGCCTCCCTTTCTTCCCTTTCTGACTTGGTTTTCAGGTAAGCACCTGACCTGCACACTGAACCTCAAGGTATGTCAGCACACGAGTTTGAAATGAGTGCACATTAGAGTGACCTGGGTTGGTTTTTCAAAATACACTCCAGGAGATTTTACCAAATCCCATGAGTCCAAGATGGAAACCAGATACATACACCTTGGAAAAGGTATTGCTAAGGAGTATCCCCAGTCCTAAAACTGTTAGAGGCTCTTGGGAAAATGAACATGAGATGCCTGCTGGCCATTTCAAGGGCTTGTTAGTGGATCCGCACTGTTCTTAGGGAAATGAAGAAGCAAGGAAATGGAAGGAAGCATCACGTCTGAGCAGCAGGAGCCAAGCCCGCCTTTAAACCAATGGTTTCAGTTAGAAATAGTCAGTCAGGGCGCCTAAAATCCACTGGAGTCACCACGGGGTTTAGCAATTTTGCAGCTGCTACAAAGTGGCCATTGCACAAAAGCACGAAAGCAGTGGTAAGGATACGAAGTCCTTCATCATTTCAAAAGGTTCCCTCCCCCTGATTTTCTATTTTAACAGCCTGAGCATTTTAATTAATAAAAATGCTAATAATTTTGCAAATTCTAGTATAAAAATTCCTTTCTCCTTCATTTTTCCTCAACCTCTTTTTATATTCTAAATTAAAAGACAAAATATGTGTTAAAAATCCATATTGTATTATGAGAGATAAAATATTATGCAGTGAAAGAATTTTTCATGAGAGAAAAAAATGTTCACAACACAGTATACTTTTAAGTGATAAAAGGGGTGACAAAGCTATACACAGTACAATTTCATTTTTTAAAATATATGGGAAAACAACAACACAATGTTAAGTGTCAGACTAAGTGGTTCTTTTCCAGCAGTGACTGCTAATTTCTTCTGCAGCTTATCTGCAGTATTTCAACACTGTATTTATCAAATGGAACACATATTACTTTTTTTTCCTTTAAATTTAGGGAATTTAAAAATACATAAAGGTACAAAGTAAATATATAATAGTGTTGCCTTTACAAGAAGCCAATTCAAGTTCACTTTAAAAGTTAATATTTTAGCTTCCAACTAACCAATAGTTCACGATCATGATAAAACTGATTGCCTATCTTTTCTTAATTTAAATGTATCTAAAATAAGCAAGGAAGATAAAAGGAGAGAAATGACAAAGGAATTCGAATTAAAAAATAATATCACATTGTCTCAATGGTTAATGCACTAACAGAACTATCACTTTCATTTCTGAAATGTGATTTTAACCATGTGGAAGCCATGTTTTTGTAAATCTGATAACAGAGGATAGTTCTTATTAAAACAGTATTCTATAAAGAACAGATAGACTAAGGTTCTCCATCTACCTATTTTAAAAATACTATAGAAAAAAACAAAAGGAGCAATTCTAAAACATAGGTCTTCATTATCTAATTTTTTAAAAAAGTTTTATAAGTGTTTATTTGAGCCAAACTGAGAACAATGTTGGGAAGCAGTATCTCAAATGCTCTTATCTAAGTTTTTAATGTTTCTATATTCCTACCAATTATAATTTCAACCGGTGGTTAACCCTCTTACTGCTACTTTAAAACAGATACACATTTCAGTACATATTTGCCTTCTATTATCATATAACAATTTTTTAAAGTGTTGACTAGTTTAGCATTTAATGTTATTTTTAAAACTTGACTAGTTTCAAGGTAGAAGTAAGAACATATGTGGCACACATGTGAGATTATAGGACAAGGCTTTTTCTTACTAAGATGATTAACCAGATGGCCAAGTTATCATTACCAAAAGCAGGGAGCCATCTGGTTAGAACTGAATGTAAAGGTCAACAATATTTTCAGGAGCTCAGTCAAAATACCGAAAGAATGTTGTATGTCGGTGTTTATTTTCCATTTACGTTGTGGAGAAGGTAGATTTAAAAAGCAAAAATGAGTGAGATAATCAGAGTACTAACAACACTTGGACTTTTATAATCCTTATATAAATTTAACAGTCCTAAAATTCCAGGTTAAAAAAAAAAAATCTTTAAATCAAGGCTACTTACTCCACTGAGAATACCAGTAGAAACAATACTAGCAAAAAATTAGTAAAAAATTAGTATCCTAATAGAAACAAAGAAATCTCTTCAGTCATATTTTATTTTAAAACATTTGTGTTATTTAGTCTCTTCACTGATTGAAGCAGAACACAGATGAACCAAAAACTTGCCTCTGAAATGAAAGAAAAAAAGTGATTCTCTCATTTCCAAAAATAACTTTAAATATTGCAGGAAGAAAGCAGTACCTCAGAGAGATAACAGCAAGTCACCAATGAAAGAAAGCAATGTACAGAGAACGAAGACTGAATTGCTAAATCTACTATAGCAAAAGGAGTTACTATAAATTTTCAAATCCCAACTTGGCATATAAAAGTCTAATACATATTATAAATTTATTTATGAGCAAAAGCAGAAAATATATAATTAACACTTCCCCTGTTCTAATTCAACAAATAAGTTTAAGTAACACTTGGAACATTTGTTTGAATTATGAAATAATACTAAATCATTTGAGATCACCTTGGAATTAAGGCAGGCAGATGTTAAAGAATTCCTAAAGTTATAACCAAGAAGTAGTCTAGGTCCTAGATTTATAAGCCTCCTATATAAATGACAAAAATTACAGACATCATCTCTACAACCATCTCTACCCTCTAATGCCTCAGGCTCTTCCCAGCAGGGGCAGAACTCCATGAAACACTATTTCTGTTGAAACATCCACTGAGAGTCTTTTTGCTGTTTCCTTCTACATAATTTGCCTTTTCTCTCTGGCTATGTTAAGAATTCCTCTGGTCTCTGGTGACCTGCGGTTACACTAAGATATGCTTCCTACTGGGGCACTTGTTGTTTCTTCAGTATGAACATTTGTGTCTTTTATTCATCCTTGAACATTCTCA